GGGGGGGGGTTCCTCATATTTCCGTGGGCGGCTTGCATGTTTCGAGCGAACCCGTCGGAGGGGCGGCGTTGTCTGCGGGTTTGCTGCCTTTTTCTTGTCTTCCATGTTTTTTTGTTTTGTTTTGTTTTTTTCGTGTGTGTGTATTTTGGGGGAGGTAGGGGGAATAGTTCATATTTCCATGGGGGGCTTGTGTTAAGGAGTGTGGCTGCTAGCATGAATAGGGTACATCCTATTCTTGATAGGATGCGGGTCGGTCAGGAGGTATACCCTTCTGACCCCTACCCCCTTGGAATTGTGTACTCTGTGTACCCCCTGAGATGAAGTTGGATCCCCACTTCATCCCAGACCTTTGCTGATCGTCTCTCAGCAATAACAAGCAACTTTCCCATCTCAACGTGGTCGTGGACAAGCGTGTCAACGACAGGACCTTCATCTATCTCTAGGAGCAAGCCACCGCCCACGACTTCACTCCTTGAAACTTGGCGTCAGCTGGCATTGCACGGTAAGCGGGTGCTGGACGCGGCTCCCACACTGCTGTGTGTTGTTGCCACGCTTTTTTCACAACCACCGGGTTGCTTGTTATTTGGTCTCACCACCCACGAGAATCTAGACTTAGCCTCTTATCTGCTTCCTCTCCTGTAGAGATGCTGGCTTGTGATGCTTTTGATAAGCGCCCGCGGGACTGGGACCTTGCGAAGGATACGCGCCTCGGAGGCCANACTTCACTCCTTGAAACTTGGCGTCAGCTGGCATTGCACGGTAAGCGGGTGCTGGACGCGGCTCCCACACTGCTGTGTGTTGTTGCCACGCTTTTTTCACAACCACCGGGTTGCTTGTTATTTGGTCTCACCACCCACGAGAATCTAGACTTAGCCTCTTATCTGCTTCCTCTCCTGTAGAGATGCTGGCTTGTGATGCTTTTGATAAGCGCCCGCGGGACTGGGACCTTGCGAAGGATACGCGCCTCGGAGGCCATCGCGATGTATTGGGTGATTTCTCGTACGTTCGCCGTCCCATGAAAGCTATTGTGTCTGCATCGGCGGTCCATGAAGTGATTTCTGTGGCGGATACCCACTGCATGGAGCGTCCTGAGATGCTGGCCTTGTGTAGTGGGACCCGAGATGACAGCATGCTTCCCACGTCTGCTACCACCTCTACTGCATTCATGCCGGCGTACCGGCCGATGTCCGCGGATTTTCCTGTTGTGCTGTCCGATTTGACTCCGCTTGCATCGACTTGGAACGCGATGTGTGCACACAAATTGGGTGTCAGCCGCCCCACCAGCCTTCCCTCCATTTTTCGAAATCACATGGCACTTTTTTTCGGGGAATCGTTCACCCTCAAAGCATTTGAATTGGAAACCTTTCAACAGCGCAAACCCACAGCGGTCTTTGCTCGCACTTCGGCACCAGTTGCGGAGGAACGCCGTGCTGCTCTGCGTGTCTTTTGGTCGGAAAACCTCGTGTCTCCATGCAACACGGGCCCTTTTGTGCTAGCTTCTACTGCTTTTTGGTGCGTGTCATGGTGTGCTTTTGGACGCTTTTTCTGCTTGGTTGGATCCGCTTCAACCTCGTGTGCACCAAGCTTTTATCACTGGGCGTATGCTATCTTGTGGATATCTCCGCCTTTCGCATGGACCTCGGCTTGCTCTTCCCGAAGTTGCACCCGGCTTTACTGCTTCTGCTGCTCTTGGTGCTGCTGCCTCAACTGCGGTTGGTTATCCTACATATTCTGTTTCTGGCCCTGCTGCCCTTTCCAAAATCGATCGTAGCTACCCTCTCTCTGGTCCTGTTCTTGTTAACAAAGAGGACACCATGTCCAGCGGCAACGTGGAACTCGTGGGCGACAATGTGGAAATCCTCGACTACGAACCCGAGGGCGAGGCTCCCACCGCAGAGCAGTTTCCAGCGGCGGGTGCAGTAGACGAGAGCCCCCCCATGTTCATGGTGTTCACCGTCGATGAGTTGCTGGACAACATCGCCACAGCAGATCCGGCGGAACTGGAGCGGGCCTACAATAACGGACGTGTCTCTCTGGAGGATATCGTAGAAGCAGCCCATCTGTCGTCCGATTCCCCCCTTTTCGTTCCTCCTTTCTCGCTCCCGCCGGAAGACAGATTAATCCCTTTGCCCCACGGCGAGTTTATGGCGTACAAAGGTTGAACGAGATGTGGTGCGACGGTCTTGCCGGGAAGATAGCAGAGGCGGAGGCGCGAGAGCAGGCGAAGCGCGAGGACGCGGAGCGCTTGGCGGAACGGGAGGCTGCTCTGGCCGCTGCGGCGAGGAAGCAGGAGGAGGAGCGTGAGGCTGTTCGGGCTGCTGCGGCGAAGAAGCAGGAGGAGGAACGTGAGGCTGCTCTGGCTGCTGCGGCGAGGAAGCAGGAGGAGGAGCATGCGGCTGTTCTGGCGGAGCGTGAAGCGTATCTCCAAGCGGCTAGGGCGAAGCAGGGGGCGCTCCGATCGCGGCTGAAGGAGCTGGAGCCC